TTCTGTGATTCTGTGATTCTGTGAGGTTGTGTCTGTGGGGGCTATTAAACAGAATGCCTTCTTCTTTGTGTAGCTGATGCCTGATGCTAACAGTTTCAGCATGTCTTTTCTGCTCAGCTGGTCTTCAGCTCCTGGCAAGGAGGCTTTCATTCTGCTGGCCCTTCTGACACTTGGACATGATGACATTCTGTGGTTCAAAAGTCATCAGTCATTTCCTCTCTGGCCAAGACTCCTGCCTTACCCTCTCTTGCATGGGCATACAGTGCTCTGTCTGTCTCACTTGCACTGCAGTCTGGTATGGCTCCACCATGTGCCTTTATATCAAGGTGTCAGTGCAGAACTTCCTGGACCTACACAAATTTGTCAACACCTTTAACACAATTTTAACTGCTTTGTTGAAACCTTTCATTGTACAAATTCATAATCAAGAAAGTGAAACAAAAACTGTGGGGAAGACTTCTCAGAAGACATAAACTAGCTTTTCAAAGTGCTTTAATGTAAGCAAACATAATTCCCTCCTAACTTCTGCCACCCAAAAATTCCTCAAAACAGTGTAAAATTCACCTGGGCATCACTGTTGGAGAGAAAGCACCATGTCCACAGCAAGGTCCTCTCCCTCACCTTACGGCCATATTATGTCAGGTTAAACCTTAATCCTGATGCTCCCATATCCCTTTGGTCATTACAGGATGAATTTAGACTTGTGACTGACCAGAGAAACCCTACCATGGAAGAAGGCTCAGAGAAGATAGGCAAGGGTGATGTGCTCATGAAGCTCAGAAGTGAAAGTGGAAACTGACCATAGCACTGAAAGAAACTGAACTTCTCTCAATACAAAGGGTACCATAAGGTGGCCTTTGTTTTAGATAAAGGGCTACATGAGTCGAGTCGGCCAATTGTTTATATAGATAGCCTTCCCAAAAATAATTAATAGAAGGTAGTTTCTATCTGAACCAGCCAGCATGGGGGAAGTGTATATGTGGCTCAGCCCAACATAGAGTATGAAAACTGAGCAATCAAACAAATTAAGTTTGAAGAGAGCAATGAACTTGAACTGGTTTCAACCTGTGTATTTGTGCCCTGCAACTGGGACACCCAGCATCATGATGGTGAGTGTACGGAGGCTGGTAAAGGGAATCACTTTTGTATTGTAATCAAACTGTGTATTCTAATTGTGCTTCTGTTGTGATTTCAGTACATTGCTGTATCACTTTGCTAGATCAAAATGCCATGTAACATCAAATATCTTCAAATAAGTAAATTTAGTATTAAACATTAAGCCCTCCTTGTGTGGAATATCTAAAAGAACCTGGTCAGAGAGTGTTGGACTCTGACAGCAAATAAAGAGGATTCTCACACTGCTGTCTGTCAGAGCTTGAGGTGGTGTCACCTGGAGGTTTATATTTCCATTTGCTAAGTGTTTTATTCTATAAAGGATTAATGTAAATCTCTGACAAATCTTCCAACGGATGGCTTAATGCTTTGCAGAAGCGGACACATATATTTCTTCTTTTATTTTGATACTTTCTGGGTGCATCTATGCATCATTTTTTGGCTATCTCCTTGGCTCTTATCCCGATTCAAGATACATTCGACCATGGCTATTATCTCTTCCAGTGGCCATTATGGCTCACAGAAGACTGTTAACAAAGTTGACATTTCCCTTTCCTCTCCCCTGTTTCCTCAGTCTTAGGCCACCCTTTCCTGCCTTGCCAACCAGTGGAGAGATAATCCGGTCAAGGCACTGTGGACTTCTCATTTTCCAGTCAAGGCACTGTGGACTTCTCATTTCAGAAAGGTGATTCAAAACTATGAAGATATATAGGCAGCTCAGCTCACTTCAGCCCTAATAGGTCTAGGCTGCAAGCACCAAAGTGAGGTTTGGGTAGCCTCTCTATCTGAGGACAGAGCCTAGAACCCCCAAAGGTGACTCCCATCCCACCTTGCAGGTCACCATGGACTGGAGAAAATGTGTGCTGCTTGTTTCTTTTTCTCCCCACTGAGCATTGGTAGACACGGGAAAGATGACTGTTGTGAGCCACAGCTGCCTGATTCTGAGGGAGTCATTTGCAATGTAATCTTCTGCAGGGGAGATCTGAGTCTGCTTCCTGGAATCTCCCTTGTCTTTGCTGCAGTGTTTACAGAAGCCATTGCTTATTATTCTGGCTCAGTTTTGCTCTTCCTCAGAGCAGGCTTAATTGCCACAGAGGTATGGGGAGGGTTAGCCCTTGCTGGAGTTGTTGACACACTTTCCACCAGCTCAGAACTTTCTTTCCCCAGGGAATAGTTAGACAGTGCTTGCTCCCTGCAGTTCCCAGGAGACCAGATGTGCAGCGACACCCTTCAGGAGGCTGATTCCTTCTATAAGTAGCAGCAGAGTTTGGAGAGTGGTATATTCAGGTACTGTTGATGACTCACAGTGGCAGCTGCTGAAAACAGAGAACAGGAGTGTAGCTGCCTGTGTGACAGGAGTTTTGGTCTGAAGAGATGAGAAGGAAGCAAGCGGGCAGGAAGAAACTGACTGTGAGATCCAGCCCTTGGGGTTTGTTTGCAGGTACCATCAGAGAAGTCAGTGCTTCACACTGACGGTTACAGGTGGGTTCTGCATTTTCACAAGCAAATTTGGTGTTATTTAGCTCATGTGAGTTCGCATGGTGTCAGTTATACAAGACCTGTGCCTCTGTCTTGTCCTTTCCTGGGTGTCTTCCTCCCTGAGCTCACTCCTTCCTCCAGATGCTGCCTCTGTGTCCTTGGCATTGCTGAGCTCTCGGGCAGTGAGGCTGTTACTACTCAGTTAGTAGTAGTTAGCCCTGCTGCTGTGCAGGAGCCAGCTCAGGGGCACTCCCATACCTCAGCTGGGCTGTAGGAAGGGTCTGGACAGCTGTGTGGGCCCAGGGTGCCTGCACATGTCACTTCACACCTCTCACAGTGAACTTCCACTTACCTTTCTCTCTCTCACACACACATTTTTGTCTCAGGGAACAATCTCCTATCTCCAGCTTTCTCACCTTAGACGCTATGCTGCTTTCCGGATACAGCACTGATTTTGGGGCCCTCTCTCCACAGGAGAACCTCACAGAACAGCTCTTCCAGCCCAGAAGAGGGCTGTCACGCAGTTGGTGTGATTGGCCATTTTGAGGTGCCAGTCCTTCCCAGTAACCACCTGTTCTACGTAGGTGCCTGCCAAGGTTGACTTCAATTCACTGTAAAGTCTCTAAAGCCATAAGATGGGAAACCACAGGCACATCCATGTGTCCCTCCCCAGTTTTTCAGAAATGCAAGGAGGAGGGTTGGGCAGACAGCTTTGTTTCTCAGCATGGGGCTTCCCTGCACACTTACACAAATGTCTACTTACTGTTTACCTCTATCACATACTAGATATTGCTGCTGCCCCATCTCAGTTCCCACTCACTATCCCTGTCCCTATCAGAGTAGAGAGCTCTGAGAGCATATCTTGAAAAATGGAGGTGCAGGTGCTGTGCTCCTGCACAAAGGCAGCTCAAATGCACTCAGAGAGAGACTGCAGCTGAAGATATGAAACACATGATCTTCACAATCCTCTCTGACCTATTTTCTCCCTTCTAGAACAGTCTTGCTTCTTCACATTGCCTTGTTGATTCAGATTTCCTTGCCTTACCTTGCCTTGCCATGCCATGCCTTGCCTTGCCTTGCCTTGCCCTGGCCTGCCCTGCCCTGCCCTTCTTCTTACAGAGAATATGTAAACTCTCGGGTGGGTGTGAACATCCATGCTTTCTCTAGAAGAAACTGCCTCCACAATTCCTTTGTGAAGCAACATATCAATGAGAGTTTTATCTTGCAGCTCTTCTGCCTAGCAAGTGGGGAAAAGAAAGATCTACAACACAGCATGGAGAGAGGGGAATGGGACAAGACATTGCTGATGGAGTTCCTCCTGCTGGGACTGGGGGATGCTTGTGAGCTCCAGACCCTTCTCTTTCTCCTCTCTCTGACCATGTGTCTGATCACAGTGACCATGGTTGGGAACATCCTCATCATTGTGCTGGTGGTCATAGACCCGCATCTCCACACACCCATGTACTTCTTCCTGGTGAATCTGTCCAGCCTGGAGACCTGCTCCAGCTCCACCATCCTGCCCAGGCTGCTAGCCAGCTTCCTGACTGGAAACAGGACCATCTCTGTGCAGGGATGTACAGCACAGTTTTTCTTCTTCGGAACTTTTGCAACTTCTGAGTGTTACCTGCTGGCTGCCATGTCCTATGATTGGTATCTGGCTATATGTCAACCCCTGCTTTACGCAAGGAGTACCCCTTTTTACTCATGAACTGGAAAGTATGACTCCAACTGGTGGCTGGATCATGGTTTGCTGGACTCCTAATTTCTACAGGAATCATGTCTTTCATATCATGCCAAAGGTTCTGTGGCCCCGGTGCAATTGACCATTTCTTTTGTGAAGAAGCTCCATTGCTAGAACTCTCCTGTGGTGACACATTATCTTTCCCAGATGTAGTTTTCCCATTTCTCTTCACTCTGGCATCCTATGTCTGCATCATAGCTCCCATCCTGAGGAATCCATCCAGCATGGGGAGGCACAAGGCCTTTTCCACTTGCTCCTCTCACCTCACTACAGTCATTGTTTTCTATTGGACCCTCAACATTGTCTACATGCTGTCCAGAACAGTGCCACTGAGGCAGCTCAACAAAATGTTCTCCTTTTCTTACACAGTCCCCACACCTCTCATCAATCCACTCATATACAGTCTGAGGAACAGAGAGGTCAAGGGGGCACTGGGGAGGGTGCTCAGGAGGGCTGCTGCCTGCACTGACAGCTCCAACCAGGTGTGGATTTCAGGGCACAAATCTAGTTCTCCTGCAAACTGACAAAGAGAACATGGGAAGGAATGTGCTCCATCCCAGGAGTACCTCTGCAACTGTCTGGCTTTCACCTAGGAATGGCAAGAGGCAGAGGGAGAGAGGGCCTTAGAGAAGCACATGCCCAGTTGAGAAGAGAAGGTATTATCTTTCTCTGGCTTGCTTTTTCCTTAGAGGCAAGGGAATGGTTGGGCCTTACTGTATGTGCGAACCGAAACCAAATATTGAACTTCTGTTTATCAGGGAAGTGAATAAAGCAATCTGGGTTGAAATGTGACCCTGGTCTTGGGGAAAGTGTGGCACTAACTCTTCTGACTGTGAGATTGTGGGGTGGGAACTGTCTTCCTTTAGTCATGCAAATTTCCAATGAGAAAGTCATTCAGACCATGGCCCTGGTGTCACTTTTATTCAGTGGAGATCCCTGGGTATCTGGGCTTCTCTGAGGTAAATATTCCATCTCTCATGAAGGCACCTTGATCTACTGAATTTGCAACATCAGAATATCTTGTCTTTCCTACAAACAAAAGGCAAAGACTCAGACAAAAGAAGACAGAAAGAAATGCCTTTGTCTTGAGAGCTTTTTAAGATCCTCCTGTTTACCATCTCCCTTGCCAATAAAAACAAACAAACCAACAAAACTGGAAAAGTGCCCTAATTAGCCACATGGGTATGACCTATCTTTCAAGTCTTAATGAGTGGTAAAAAACATTCCACACTTAAGTAGGATCAGGGTTGTGTGGTGTTAGCCTTTAGGTCTCCTTGGGGGGATTGCACACATGTTTTTAAATCATTGCAGGCAACCTGGTCACCAGGAGCCTTGAGTCTTCTTCTCATGCTACTGTGGAAAAGCTGTTCCTCTAGGAACTCTAGGTGGACCAGTGTGTGCCAAGGGGATTCATTTCTGTCTAACATGTCTTCAGTAGTGCAGTGAACTGCACAAGTTCAACACCAATACTGAACCCAAAGGAAGGATGAATAAACATGCGGGTAGCAGACACCATTGATTTCTTATGAGCTTTAAAGATGGGTTTCTGCTCATGCTCTTTTTAGCCAAGATCTGGCTCTGTCCCAACTAAAGAGATGCATTTAAATGAAGTGACCTAGTTCAGAGTGTAATTATGTAGCCTTCTACAACCTGGAGTCAGATGAGATGGGTCAGGTTCTCTGGTGGGAGCTCTCATGATTCTGTTCATTTTTCCAGGTTTCCAAGGGCTTAATCCTTCCTCAGGGTCCCATTGCAGTTGCTTCTACAGTGTTCATTCAGTTCTATACCCATTTAACTTCAGAAAGCAAAGCCAAGTGTGGACCTTCAGGATGTCTGACTTGCTCCCCCTGGACCATTCCTCCACCACTGTCACAGAAGATTGAGTATACACACCCTCACCCCTTTGCTCCCCACACAGCACATGAAAATACACCTTAAACTGCCATCTACAGAAACCTCTCTCTGATGGGCACTGCACATGACCAAAGGGAGATACAGGCCTCATGCTACATCCTCTGGAGGGTGTTCTCCAGCCACTAACAAGTCCTTTCCTCTGTTTGGGGGCTGGAATAGGTGGTTCCTGGAAGGAAAATATTCTCCTTCCATCTTTAACCTAGATGCAGTGCCTTAGTCATCAGGTGCAATTTGTAATGACTACTACTAGAAAAGATCCCAGCTAATGTGGAGCTCTTGGAATTGGTCCAGAGGAGGGCCACAAAGATGATCAGAGGGCTGGAGCACCTCTCCTATGAAGAAAGGTTGAGAGAACTAGGCTTGTTTAGCTTGGAGAAGAGAAGGCTCTGGGGAGACCTCACTGCAGCCTTCCAGTACTTGAAGAGAGCCTATAAACAGGAGGGGGAGCAACTGTTTACCTGGATTGATTGTGACAGGACGAGGGGGAATGGTTTTAAACTAAGAGAGGGGAGATTTAGGTTCAATATTAGGAGGAAATGTTTCACTCAGAGGGTGGTGAGACACTGGAACAGATTGCCCAGAGAAGTTGTGGATGGCCTATCACTGGAGGCATTCAAGGCCAGGCTAGATGGGGCCCTGGGCAGCTGCTCTAGTGGCTGGCAACGCTGCCTACAGCAGGGAGGTTGAAATTAGATGATCTTTAAGGTCCTTTTCAACCCAGGCCATTCTATGATTCTATGATTCGAACGAAAAATGGGGAATTGTTGAGTCCACTTCTTGAGCAGGATCTCCAAAATGGTGAGGTAAAGAAAAGTCCCAGCTGCCACCCTTTTCAGAATGACTCCTCCTATCTTGCTGATGTCCCTGTCAGATCAAGTGACCCTAGTGACCACAAAAATGCAGACGGGGGACAGGAAGACAAACAGTACCATGTAGAGGAGTTATCCCTGTGTTCAGGTTCCCCTCTGGCTTAGCTTGAAGGCCAAGCTGAACATGACCTACATGGCTGAGATACCTCGAAGAGCTGCAGCACTTCCTGCTAAGGCATACCACATCTGATAGTCCAGTAAAAATGCTTCCATAGATCCATGTGCCCGGAGACAACCAGCAGGAAGACTCAGAATGCATTCCAAGTAAGCGCACATACATACACAAGCAAACCACACAGCTCAACACAGGCAGGCACACCCAGCCCTCATATGAAAACAAAAGAGTACTAAGGGCGTCATCCTGTTCCTCTCTCTGGCTGATCAGGTAATTTAGTGGGAAATATATATAAACATATACAATGTGGATCTCTGGAGCAGCTTGGCTTCAACACTCAGTCTACCCAGTAGTTGTCGTTTGGATCCACCAGCAGACACAAACATGCCAGAAGTATGGACCCTCTTACCCAAGGTCACACTCCAGCTGCTGGCACCTAGGCCTCCATACATACAGACTTACATAGAACAGAGAGTTCCTCACACCGAGAAATAAGTAGAAATTTAATTTAATAAGAAGATAGGAGACACTGCAATTATCAAGCTCAGGGCATGACCAGACAAGTTTACTGACCTGTTTACATGTGACTGGTCCTTTTTATCCCTTCATTCCTGTTTTGTCACATTTGTTCCTCTCAAAATCAGCTACATCTTTCCCTTTCCCCACCTTTGTTTTCTCCCTTAAACATTATAAGTCTTTAGCAATCCCTACATGCTTTTACTGTGCATGTCATGACGGGTCCCATATTGCTAAGGAGTAATCCCCCTCAATTTGAGACAGTCCCACTAACTCATCTTGGTGGGTCTCACATCTAGACAATGGCACTGGGGCCTAGAGCGTCCATTCCTCTGTACATCATTTTGGGTTCCCCACCTGCCATTGTGCCTCTATGCTCCTCTGGGTTTGCAGAGCCTTTAATAGGCTGACCCCTTTCCTGTGATTGTCCTGGGACTAGCTGGCTGAGGACATTAATTGGGTTCCCCATTTGCCATGGTGTCTTTGTGTTCCTTTGTCTGTGTGCAGACTGGGATTTTACCACATAATCTAACACTCACAGTTCTTCCTATTGCATCCCAGTGGCCTATCCTTCGAAGACTGTTTGGAGGAAGAGTAAGAGCACAAAGTCCCAGAAGAATGTGGACAAGGTTGCCCGGTCTGCCCTTGATTGTGGCTTTCTGGGAGCCTGTAGCCAAGGGACAGAAGGAAGAACATCTCATGAAGAATCAACAACCAATTAAAAGAGGTCATGAGCTCCCCAGAAGGTAGTCCAATGCCTGGGGCATTGAAAACAATGGGAGGGGGAAGGGTGGAGATTTGCAAAGAAAGAGGTGAGAAGTGAAGACACTCCTCTGAAGCCGGGCATGTGTATCCATCCCAGTGCAGGCTCCTGACTAAATGAAAAGGACTTTGGAGTCTGGGGAAGAGGATGGGAGACTGGAAGGCTGTATGCCTGGGTTTCCTGGGGAGAGTACTGGGGCATCTCTGGGTTAGAGTGTGAAGGTGACTGTCACCAGTCTGTACTGCTGAGTTGTCTGGGGACGGATATGTCTGTGGAGAAGAGAGACACCAGATATCTGTGTTCCCTTGGAAGACAGTATGTAGCAGAGGGAAAAACGTGATCTGTTCATGCAATGTAACCAGAAAGGTTGAAGCAGTTTTTTCATTTATTGGTAACACATATTTAATTGGCAATCAGTGACCTATTTGTCAGGATCAGCGTCAGTAATACCACAGATAAACCACCTTACGAGACACCTGAAAAATGTCAGTAAGCACCTACTGACATCTAAACACATTCCTGTTAGCTAATTGCAGAAAGTTCAAATCACACACACAAACACATGTGTGCCCACATCCATATGCAGCCATAAATAGTTATGGGTACTCCCTCCACCCTGTCCCCTTGTAGGTTACAAGCATACATACCCTCTCCTGGGAGTGCAGGTTCCCCTCTCCCACACCACTCCTGCTCTGGATATGGGTGCTCTGGCTTTTGTTGTCCCCATGCCACTCCCTAGAAATTCCTAACCCTCTTGCTGGTGAGAAAACCCCCTTACAGGGTCATATGGATCTGGTAGCAGTTTCCTGGTGGCACCCTCCTGGGTCTGATACTGGAGCTAACATTGTTTAACATCTTTTTTAACATCCTGGATGGCAGGACAGAGTGGACTTTCAGCAAGTTTATGTGTGATACCTGATTGAGCGGGATAGGCAGGAGGGAAGAACTTCTATTCAGAGCGCTGAAATATGTTAGAGAAATGAGCTGGAAGAAACCTCAGGATGCTTAAAAAGGCTAATGAAAAGCCCTCTCCTCCAGGACAGGACAAACTCCCCATGCAATCAGACAGTCTGGGGGCTGCTTGTCTGGAACTCAGCTTTCTGAAAAACGATCTACGGGTGCTGATAGACAAACAGTTGAACACATACCAGCAATGTGCCTTGCAGTGATGAAGGTCTGTTACAACTGCATGAACATTTGTCCACACCATGAATTCAAAGAAATTTATCATACACATAAGTGCACCCACCAAGCGAAAATATCTACACATGACCACTTGTGGATTCAACTAGGCACAACACAGCAGGCAGAGAGGGAAAAGGACATGGCATGTCTTCACATATGGGA